ACCCCATTAATTTAACCACATTAATTCGGTGGTGTGCGGCCACACTAATCCTAATTCGAATTAACAAAATCGATTTTGGCGCTACTCCGCTCGTCGAGGTGGAGTACAGAAATCGATTTTAAGTGCCCTTTAATTCGAATTAACTGGCTCTGTGGTGTGGACGGGTGAAGGGTTAATTCGGATTAACGCAGCTAAATCCGAATTAAAGTCGTAGTGTAGACCAGGCCTTAGATTTGACTTAGATGAAGCAACAGGAACACTCGCTCCATCACCACAGCAAGTGTCTACGCTACAGTGACAGCTGCAGCATCACAGCTCTGATGCTATAGAGCATCTGCAGTGCAGACAAGCCCCATTTCACTAGTACTCCAGTCATCATGGCCTTCCAGCCCAGGACTGGAATCTGCACACCTTTACAGCTTCTCCTATGTTGTAAAGCAGTAAAAGAAGGGGCACAAGCTCATTAGTTTTCCCCTTTGCAGGTCACCTTTAACACCGAAGATGTAGGTTAGGATACAGTAAATGTAACTCCTCATTTGAATAAATAGGAAATCAGATTTTCAGAGCTGCAGAGTAAAATAATATTTCAGCTCTGAGATACCATCACTATTCACCAAAGAGAAACTGAAGCAGTATAGGTATTTCTAAAAACAGTTTAGAAAATTCATATATTTATGTAGCTACAGAGCAAATAAATATCAATTGACAATTCTGTAACTGCTCACTACAATTTTCCTTTAGCATTTGTATAGACTGTGGGGATTAGACCATGGCTCATGGCTGTTGCCACAAAGCCCCCCTCTCACCCCCCCCCATTAAAATGGCTAAAATATCACTTAACTGAAATTGTCCCCTTGCTGTACATTAAAAACAACAAGATGAATGGACTATGGAGGCAGGGAGGAATGGGAGAGCTACTAGTCAACCACAAAGAAAGACCAAGTTAAAATGGCACAGCAACCCATCGGCCTGTATTGTCCACAAAGAGAGATCTGATTGAGATCTCCCAAGGAAAAGAGTGCAGCAATCAGGAGGCTCTGCAAGAGAGGGTAAAGTCCCCCTGCTCATCACTGGCATTACATTCAGTAAGATGCACTAGAACAGCTGAGAAAAGTGAGGAGCTTTCTAGTACAGGACACAGAGCTGACATGTTACTGATAGCACTCTGCAGACTGTTACTCTGATTTGGCTCCTTGTGGTACCTGCTTCCTCTACAGATTTCTGTAGAGCTTCTGCCAGTTCTTGGTCTGCAATCTCCTCCGGCCGCATGTCCTCCCGCCCTGGCCCATATGCCAGTCTTGCACACTCTGGGAGCTCCCCTTCTGGAAGGAAAGTTGTCTGAGATCCCGTGGTACCAATCACTAGTACGTTCTTTTTGAGATCAATGGAACACTGGGAAAAGAGGACACATGCAAATGATGTCTTGGTGCCCATCAGTCATAAAACAGGACCAGAATACATAAATTAGTGACACATTAAACAATGCACTAGAAAAATGTCCCTTCCAAACATCAAGGGGTTAACACAGTGAAAAGTTACATGCACTGGATGAAGGGTCAAGAAGGTGCTAACAACTGGTAGATCTAAAAACAAATACTGGGTAGAAATAACTCAGCAGCCTGTGCCTTCAATGTGCCAAGTGGCTTCTTACAGCTGCTCCTATTAGCCAGCTCTTGAATCATTACGGTCCTTCTGCTCTTCAGCCCTACTAGGATTACGGCTACAAGTGAGGACTTCCCAGAGTCTTTATTCTAAATGGCTCATGTATAGACCTCAGAGGATTTTCAGGCCCCAAGAGTTCAGAGCAAAGACCTTTAGGCTGGGACAAGATACGAAGTACTCACAACCTATAAGGTATAAGTGCTTCCCCCATAATCTATGGGAAAACCATGTCGATATATCTCGTCAGAGTTTTTTTTATCCCTAAATAATTCATAAGGATGATAACGATTTTACATTTAAGGACTTACGAAAGAGCCAAGGATTGTTTGCAAAACAGGCACCAACGGATTCCATTACCTGATGTCTCTTAAGCATATCCAGTCCTAGAAGCATATCCATGGGCTGTTCTTCGAGGATAGAGAAAGAACACGGCAGAAAATCCCCTTCAATCTGAACCTGAGCTGAAGCACACAGAAAACACCATGTTACCTGCCCTCCGGCCTCTAGAAGTGCTCAAGCACCGCAGCATGAGGACTCGACTGTACGTATCTCTCTATCCAAGAGAAAGCCTACAGAGTCTCCGTGGGTAGGTTATGGAATCGGAGCACAATGTACATAGACTTGGCTGTGGAAAAGCCTACTCTGAGCCAGCCCTGGTGATTATTGAGAGTTTGCTAGCCCCCAGGGGCTAATTATTTCCCCCCCCTTTATTTTAAAAGCTGACTGGATCTGCAGTGCAGTAGGAACTGATCAGCTAACCCCTCAAGCTAGAGCTGAAGAAGCTGCATGAAGCTGCTCAGTGTGTGGAATTTTGTTTTTGGTGCTTTAATTCACAGTCAACGTCTTAAGGAATAAAGAGAATATTTCCCTGTATGGCATTTTCTTCAGACAAACCTATGCAAGAACACGGATATCTTGAAGTGCTCTCCTCACTGCGGAATGAGGTTCACTCAGCTGCACTGGAATTCTGCCCTGAACAATTCACACTGCCCATTACCCCCATCCTGACCCCCCATACCAAAGAATAAAGCTATTTATAACCCGTTAGCACCAGGAATCAAGGTTTCCTCAGTATTTGTATGGGGGCTCTAGACCTACCGGAATTAAAGTGTTAGGATAATTGTATGAAAACATTAAACATGATGGAATCCTGGTTAGTGTGTGTCTGGTGTAAGAATTTATCAAGATCACATTAAGCTCACCCACTCTATAGCAGTTCCCAAAGTTTACAGCAGGGGTCTCAAACACGCGGCCCGCGAGGTTATTTTCTGTGGCCCGCGAGCTCCTCGCGGCCCCCCCACCCTCCCTCAGCGTTTACCTAGAGCAGCTCCGGCCTGACGCGCACTGGGGGCAGGGCAGGCTCCCTGCCTGCCTGCCCTGCCCCCGCGCCACTCCGGGAAGCGGATGGAACCTGGGGAAAGAGAGGCACAGGGGTGTGTGTGCCGATGTTGCTTCAGGCTCCGCCCCCCCCAGCAGCTCCCATTGGCCACAGTTCCCCGTTCTCGGCCAATGGGGGCAGTGCCTGAAGCAACAGCAACACACACACCCCTGTGCCCCTGCTCCCCCACGTTCCGTCCGCTTCCCGGAGCGGCGCAGGGGCAGGGCAGGCAGGCAGGGAGCCTGCCCTGCCCCCGGTGCGTGCGAGGCCAGAGCCCGCCCCCCGAACCTCTCCTGCAGTCGAACCCCCTGCCCTGAGCCCCTTGCCGTACCCTGCACCCCGAGACCCTCCTGCCACACCCCTCCTGCACTCCAACCCACTGCCCTAAGCCCCTTGCTGCACGCTGACCCCCTGCCCTGAACCCCCTGCTGCATCCCGCACCCCAACCCTTCCCTGAGCCGCCTGCCGCACCCTGCACTGAACCCCCTGCTGCACCCCAACCCCCTGCCCTGAGCCCTTGCTGCACC